CAAAGACATGTAAGAGACAGTATAGATCTGTACAAGTGAAAATGTCTGCTCATAATAATAGTAAATGGTGATTAATATAACGTTCATGAGAGTTTCAGTGATACTTTGATTTTCTTTAGGATGAAGCCGTAAAAAGTAATTTATTACACCTGGATAATGTTATCAATACAGGTTTAGAGTTTAGTTTTTACAGAGCTGCATTGCTGTTAAGTGGTTAGTGTCATTTTGTGTGTTAGCTTTGACACTCTAGGGTTCAGGCATGCCGTGACCATGGCCTTTGCTATTCATGAGATCAACAACAACTCCAATCTGCTTCCAAATGTGACTCTGGGATACAGTCTTTATGATAACTGTGCGGCACTTGTCGTTGGATTCAGTGCTGCATTGTCACTGGCAAGTGGTCGAGAGGAACAGTTTCTGCTTAAAGAGAACTGTTTAGGAGCCCCTCCAGTCCTGGGCATTGTGGGTGATTCCTACTCAACATTTTCTATTGCCACCTCCAATGTATTAGGTTTATACAGAATGCCCATTGTAAGTTTCCTATTAGCATTTGTATTGTATTTTAATATACTGTATTTGAATTAATGTCACCTGTAAAATTCATACATTGTTGAAATATTCAGACAGGGTCTGACTTGCATGTTTTCTTTTATTTTACAGGTGAGTTATTTTGCCACATGTACCTGCCTGAGTGATCGGCAACAGTTTCCATCCTTTTTTAGAACAATCCCAAGTGATGCTTTCCAGGTGAAAGACTATTACAAGTTGAGAACGCCAAATAATGTCTCTTTTAGGCTACACAGAATGCTTATAGAAATTGTCCTTAAATGAAACAAATCATTTTCTTTTCTCTTTATGGGATTAATTAACATTGTGAAACATATGTAAACATACCGTATAATACATAAAAGTTTTTTTTTTTTTTTTAAAGTTAGCTATTTATGATATTTTAGTCTGTGCACCAATCCCTTAACACTAATATATTCACTCAGGTGCGTGCCATGATTCAGATTCTGAAACATTTCGGCTGGACTTGGGTTGGCCTTCTGGTCAGTGATGATGATTATGGACTCCATGTTGCCCGATCCTTTCAGTCTGACCTGGCTCAGTCTGGTGGAGGTTGTTTGGCCTATTTAGAGGTTTTGCCCTGGGACAGCGAATCAAGTGAACTCAGGAGGATTGTACATTTGATAAAGACATCAACGTCTCGTGTAGTCATTGTGTTTGCACATGAGTTTCACATGATTCAACTGATGGAAGAGGTTAGAATTAAAATATTACAATTAAAACCACCCATTATGCATTGAAAAAACAGTTTATTTAACTCCCTTTATAGTTACTGTACCTTTCATTGCAATTTGCATACTCAGTGTTAAAGTGGGCATTTTCCACTTAGTAACTTTTGATCATCTGTGCTCATATGACAAACAAAGCCAGACAGAGTCTCTGTTGTCGGTAAATCTATATTTGCTACAAAACATAATGCATTTTTTTTCAACAGAAGTCTGAAATATATGTTTAATATGATATGATACACAGGTGGTGAAGCAGAACGTGACAGGCCAGCAGTGGATAGCAAGTGAAGCCTGGACAGCATCTGCTGCGCTCCAGACGCCCCGCTTCATGCCATACTTGAGTGGCACACTGGGTATTGCAATCCGTCGAGGAGACATACCTGGGCTCAGGGAATTCCTTTTAGAAATACGTCCTGACCAAAATGACAACAACTATGAAAATAAAATGGTGAGAGTTGATTCTTGTGAATTCATTTCAAATTAATTCATTAATTGATAACATGGATTGTTATTTCTATAAATACTGTCTTTTTTATTATCTTTAAGGTGAGACAGTTTTGGGAATACACTTTTCAGTGTAAATTTGATCCAGCAGCTGAAGCTGGGGGGGCACCATGCACTGGACAAGAAGATCTAGAGAATGTGGAGACTGAGATTTTAGATCTTTCTAACCTCAGGCCTGAGTACAATATTTACAAAGCTGTGTATGCTCTGGCCTATGCTCTTGATGATATGCTGCGCTGTGTGCCTGGGAGAGGGCCTTTCAGTGGGCACAGCTGTGCTACTTTGCAATCAATGGAGCCATGGCAGGTGCGATATCAGCTTACACTTCACCTCTTTATGTTTTGAGAACACCTGCTAAACCTTGAGGTACTTTCTGAATGTAGTTTTGTGAGTAGACCCATAAAACAACAGCCTGCATTTCAGGGTGTCTCAATCCTTAGACTAAATTAACAAAGTTAAAAATGTTTCAAAATTTAAAATTGTCGTTGAAGTGACTTTGTTGCAAATTATTTGAAAGTATGATAAACCTTTGTTTGGATGGAATTACTCCTTTTCAGTATTTGTTTTGTCTTTTTGCAGCTTGTACATTATTTGCAAAAGGTCAACTTCACCACAGCATTTGGTGATCAAGTGTCATTTGATGAGAATGGTGATGCTTTACCAATATATGATATCATGAACTGGTTGTGGCTCCCTGATGGACGAACTAAAGTTCAGAATGTTGGTGAGGTTAAGAGGTTGGCCTTCAAGGGTGAAGAACTCACAATCAATGAAGACAAAATTTTCTGGAACTTTGAATTCAAGGAGGTTATTTCTGCTATCTTCAGACACCTCTACATTTTGCAGGTAAATCTTGACAATGTATCAAAATACACAATGATGGATACATATCTCTCCTTACAGCCACCCCGCTCAGTGTGCAGTGAGAGCTGTCCTCCAGGTACCCGCATGGCCAGAAAGAAGGGGGAGCCTGAGTGCTGTTTTGACTGCATCCCTTGTTCTGAGGGGAAGGTCAGCAATATGACTGGTTGGTAGTCAGTTTTATACATCACAGTTTGGAAAAATAATATAAACATGTATCTCAAGATTTTCCCTGTATTCTCAGACTCCATGGAGTGCACCAGCTGTCCAGAGGATTTCTGGTCCAGCCCCCAGGGTGACCACTGTATTCCCAAGGAAACTGAGTTTCTCTCCTACCATGAGCCTCTGGGTATTTGTTTGACAACTGCCTCATTGCTGGGCACATTTATATGTACTGTTGTCCTGGTAGTCTTCACCTGCAATCACAGTACACCCATGGTACGCGCCAACAATTCAGAACTGAGTTTCTTACTCTTGGTGTCACTCAAACTATGTTTCCTGTGTTCTCTGCTGTTTATTGGACGTCCCAGGCTGTGGACATGCCAACTGAGACATGCAGCATTTGGGATCAGCTTTGTGCTTTGTGTATCATGTATCCTGATGAAAACCATGGTGGTTCTGGCTGTGTTCAAGGCCTCCAAGCCAGGAGGTGGAGCCAGCCTGAAATGGTTTGGTGCTGTGCAGCAGAGAGGAACAGTTTTACTTCTGACCTGCATTCAGGCAGCAATCTGCACTGCTTGGCTTGTCTCTTCCTCACCAGCTCCTCATAAAAACACTCAATACCACAATGACAAGATAGTTTATGAGTGTGTAGTTGGGTCCACAATTGGTTTTGCAGTGTTGCTAGGATACATTGGCTTACTGGCCATCCTCAGCTTCCTGTTAGCATTCCTGGCAAGGAATCTTCCAGATAACTTTAATGAGGCCAAACTCATCACTTTCAGCATGCTGATCTTCTGTGCAGTGTGGGTGGCCTTTGTCCCTGCTTATGTCAGTTCACCAGGCAAATATGCAGATGCAGTTGAGGTATTTGCCATCCTGGCCTCCAGTTTTGGTCTCTTGGTGGCACTGTTTGGACCCAAATGTTACATTATCCTGTTGAGGCCAGAGAGGAACACAAAGAAAGCAATCATGGGTCGTGGAACTAAGTCATAAAATCACCACTTAAAGTAAATTCATTAAGTCATCTGACTCGTTCTGTATTTTGTATGCAAAAGATGAAATTAGAAGCAATAAAAAAATGCTAATAAAAATGAGTCTCACATTATTATTATTTAAATTTTGGTCTGTTCGTTAATTTTAACATTCCTTGCGATGCTCCAAATTCCCAGCCACTCCTTCCACCTATGACCATCTTATCAAGACCTTTGACATGTCCTTCCACATCCCAGGAACCCAGGTTTCCAATTTCAAATGAAGCAAAAATGTCCAGAGTGGCTTATTTCACCCCATATATTTTTCTTCGGCCTCAATTTGTATTTGAGTCCTTTCAAATCTATCCAAAACAACATAAATTGTAGATAAGTTTACCATGCATCTCCACAGGACCTACTTTTCACCATGTCAGGCACAGTTGAAACACACTTCTGGTTCCAACACCACCTCATTTCATTTACAAATCTCTCTGCTGCATTCTCAGGCTTCTACTCCATCAGCTGACCCTAAGTGTCACTCTATATTAATCCAACCAGATTCTGCCACAATATCTCCCAAACCAATCATACTGTTTCTGTCTTTCTATATGTCAATCAGAGCCGCTATATTGTGTGATTCCACCCAATATACATATTTTGTATGATAGTAAAACTCCTGTTGGTTCTGGCTGTGTTCAAGGCCTTCAAGCCAGAAGGTGGAGCCAGTCTGAAGTGGTTTGGTGCTGTGCAGCAGAAAGGAACACTGCTGGGGTCTCATTTATAAAACAATGCATAGGGTCCATACTAAAAAGTGGAGGTATTTGCCATTCTGGCCTTCAGTTTTGGTCTCTTGGCGGCACTGTTTTGACCCAAATGTTACATAATCCTGCCAACACCAGAAATTAATACACACAGTGAGTCATGGAACCACCACACATAAAAGTCCTTGAAGCAACCTTGTGAAGAAAGTGAAAGCAATAAAGATGTTTGTGTGAAACTCTTTCTTAAGTTCTTTATTTTTGCCCGTTTTGCTTCATCATGTTCCCTACTATTTGAGAAATGCTGATAACTTTGATAGACTTTGCTTCAGTTTTTACCAGAGCAAGACTCAAAGCAAGAGAATCAAAGATTAAATCAAACCACTTTTATGTAACAGTTTTATTTGTTCTAGTACCCCGCAAAGGATTATTGAAACTTTGAGAAAGCTACTGTCCATCTCCATACAGTGTGAACTGATGAATTAATTCACTGAATACCATTGTTAGTGCTCGCTTCTGCAAGTGATTCATTTGCATAAATGAACAGTAACAGACAGATGGAACAACCTTAATGGGTTCTTGTCTCTGTGGAAAAAAAAAAAAATGTTATTACATTTAATTTAGTCCCCTATACAACAACCCATTGGTGCAGAATACAAACTTGTGAAGCACTTAATCAAATCCTCTAAGTTTAGGGATCCTGCCTCTCCACCCAAGTCAATAAATTTTCACACTTTGTGACTGAAACTTTGGATATCAACTGAAGTGAATGTAGTTGCGCTCATAATACCATATAGCTACACCATACCATCACTACAAGAATAAATATAATGTCAAAAGACCATAATTCCTGCCCACAACATGAATGAAAAAGGTATATCATTGTTTTGCCTTAAAGCATTACAAAAAGGCATCAAAGTACCACCCAAACATATGGTACACATTAAGTTGTACTAACAAAATCTAATTATGGGATATGTAATACCAAATGAATAAAAATAAAAGTTAAAAAAAACTGAAAAAGAAAAAAAATTGTTCTCAAAAAAATGGACTCAAACAAGAGACACCTAATCAATACTGTGTAGCCGATTACAAATCCAAGAGACATTTACAGAGTGTATTTAAAAAATAAATAAGATGAGCCTCAATTTTCTACATAAAAAAAGAAAAGGTAAACAATAAATTTGAAAAAAATCTTTAAGATGGTTGATGGCTAATGCTTGCTGAAACACTTGCTGATATGGCGTAGCATTTACATTACGTTTAAAATGTTACATTAACATAATTAAGCTGACATGTGTTGTGCCCTGCCCCTGTCACCCTAGTGGATGATGTTAAAGAATAAACATTGACAGAAAGCCTGCAGTGGGGATTACATAGCGGTGTATATAAAATTAAGTAACCCTGTATAAAGACCAAAAACAGATGTGAAGGGAGGAGGGCAGTTATGGGGCCTTTTCTTGACAGATATTTCCTCTTGTGTTTGTGTCTTACCTTGTTCTTTTTCTCTTCCTCCTCTTTATGCTCAGTGTCTTCCTCTCCTCCCTCATCTTGTAAAATACGGAGAAAGTTTCGTCTTAATGAAATGCACAAGCCTGGTGATGTGATTCTGGGTGGGCTGTTTGAGGTCCACTTCACCTCTGTCTTCCCTGAGCGAACATTCACCTCAGAGCCACAAGAGCCCAGCTGCAAAGGGTAAGTTACAAAGACATGTAAGAGACAGTATAGATCTGTACAAGTGAAAATGTCTGCTCATAATAATAGTAAATGGTGATTAATATAACGTTCATGAGAGTTTCAGTGATACTTTGATTTTCTTTAGGATGAAGCCGTAAAAAGTAATTTATTACACCTGGATAATGTTATCAATACAGGTTTAGAGTTTAGTTTTTACAGAGCTGCATTGCTGTTAAGTGGTTAGTGTCATTTTGTGTGTTAGCTTTGACACTCTAGGGTTCAGGCATGCCGTGACCATGGCCTTTGCTATTCATGAGATCAACAACAACTCCAATCTGCTTCCAAATGTGACTCTGGGATACAGTCTTTATGATAACTGTGCGGCACTTGTCGTTGGATTCAGTGCTGCATTGTCACTGGCAAGTGGTCGAGAGGAACAGTTTCTGCTTAAAGAGAACTGTTTAGGAGCCCCTCCAGTCCTGGGCATTGTGGGTGATTCCTACTCAACATTTTCTATTGCCACCTCCAATGTATTAGGTTTATACAGAATGCCCATTGTAAGTTTCCTATTAGCATTTGTATTGTATTTTAATATACTGTATTTGAATTAATGTCACCTGTAAAATTCATACATTGTTGAAATATTCAGACAGGGTCTGACTTGCATGTTTTCTTTTATTTTACAGGTGAGTTATTTTGCCACATGTACCTGCCTGAGTGATCGGCAACAGTTTCCATCCTTTTTTAGAACAATCCCAAGTGATGCTTTCCAGGTGAAAGACTATTACAAGTTGAGAACGCCAAATAATGTCTCTTTTAGGCTACACAGAATGCTTATAGAAATTGTCCTTAAATGAAACAAATCATTTTCTTTTCTCTTTATGGGATTAATTAACATTGTGAAACATATGTAAACATACCGTATAATACATAAAAGTTTTTTTTTTTTTTTTAAAGTTAGCTATTTATGATATTTTAGTCTGTGCACCAATCCCTTAACACTAATATATTCACTCAGGTGCGTGCCATGATTCAGATTCTGAAACATTTCGGCTGGACTTGGGTTGGCCTTCTGGTCAGTGATGATGATTATGGACTCCATGTTGCCCGATCCTTTCAGTCTGACCTGGCTCAGTCTGGTGGAGGTTGTTTGGCCTATTTAGAGGTTTTGCCCTGGGACAGCGAATCAAGTGAACTCAGGAGGATTGTACATTTGATAAAGACATCAACGTCTCGTGTAGTCATTGTGTTTGCACATGAGTTTCACATGATTCAACTGATGGAAGAGGTTAGAATTAAAATATTACAATTAAAACCACCCATTATGCATTGAAAAAACAGTTTATTTAACTCCCTTTATAGTTACTGTACCTTTCATTGCAATTTGCATACTCAGTGTTAAAGTGGGCATTTTCCACTTAGTAACTTTTGATCATCTGTGCTCATATGACAAACAAAGCCAGACAGAGGCTCTGTTGTCGGTAAATCTATATTTGCTACAAAACATAATGCATTTTTTTTCAACAGAAGTCTGAAATATATGTTTAATATGATATGATACACAGGTGGTGAAGCAGAACGTGACAGGCCAGCAGTGGATAGCAAGTGAAGCCTGGACAGCATCTGCTGCGCTCCAGACGCCCCGCTTCATGCCATACTTGAGTGGCACACTGGGTATTGCAATCCGTCGAGGAGACATACCTGGGCTCAGGGAATTCCTTTTAGAAATACGTCCTGACCAAAATGACAACAACTATGAAAATAAAATGGTGAGAGTTGATTCTTGTGAATTCATTTCAAATTAATTCATTAATTGATAACATGGATTGTTATTTCTATAAATACTGTCTTTTTATTATCTTTAAGGTGAGACAGTTTTGGGAATACACTTTTCAGTGTAAATTTGATCCAGCAGCTGAAGCTGGGGGGGCACCATGCACTGGACAAGAAGAACTAGAGAATGTGGAGACTGAGATTTTAGATCTTTCTAACCTCAGGCCTGAGTACAATATTTACAAAGCTGTGTATGCTCTGGCCTATGCTCTTGATGATATGCTGCACTGTGTGCCTGGGAGAGGGCCTTTCAGTGGGCACAGCTGTGCTACTTTGCAATCAATGGAGCCATGGCAGGTGCGATATCAGCTTACACTTCACCTCTTTATGTTTTGAGAACACCTGCTAAACCTTGAGGTACTTTCTGAATGTAGTTTTGTGAGTAGACCCATAAAACAACAGCCTGCATTTCAGGGTGTCTCAATCCTTAGACTAAATTAACAAAGTTAAAAATGTTTCAAAATTTAAAATTGTCGTTGAAGTGACTTTGTTGCAAATTATTTGAAAGTATGATAAACCTTTGTTTGGATGGAATTACTCCTTTTCAGTATTTGTTTTGTCTTTTTGCAGCTTGTACATTATTTGCAAAAGGTCAACTTCACCACAGCATTTGGTGATAAAGTGTCATTTGATGAGAATGGTGATGCATTACCAATATATGATATCATGAACTGGATGTGGCTCCCTAATGGACGAACTAAAGTTCAGAATGTTGGTGAGGTTAAGAGGTTGGCCTTCAAGGGTGAAGAACTCACAATCAATGAAGACAAAATTTTCTGGAACTTTGAATTCAAGGAGGTTATTTCTGCTATCTTCAGACACCTCTACATTTTGCAGGTAAATCTTGACAGTGTATCAAAATACACAATGATGGATACATATCTCTCCTTACAGCCACCCCGCTCAGTGTGCAGTGAGAGCTGTCCTCCAGGTACCCGCATGGCCAGAAAGAAGGGGGAGCCTGAGTGCTGTTTTGACTGCATCCCTTGTTCTGAGGGGAAGGTCAGCAATATGACTGGTTGGTAATCAGTTTTATACATCACAGTTTGGAAAAATAATATAAACAAGTATCTCAAGATTTTCCCTGTATTCTCAGACTCCATGGAGTGCACCAGCTGTCCAGAGGATTTCTGGTCCAGCCCCCAGGGTGACCACTGTATTCCCAAGGAAACTGAGTTTCTCTCCTACCATGAGCCTCTGGGTATTTGTTTGACAACTGCCTCATTGCTGGGCACATTTATATGTACTGTTGTCCTGGTAGTCTTCACCTGAAATCAAAGTACACCCATGGTACGCGCCAACAATTCAGAACTGAGTTTCTTACTCTTGGTGTCACTCAAACTATGTTTCCTGTGTTCTCTGCTGTTTATTGGACGTCCCAGGCTGTGGACATGCCAGCTGAGACATGCAGCATTTGGAATCAGCTTTGTGCTTTGTGTATCATGTATCCTGATGAAAACCATGGTGGTTCTGGCTGTGTTAAAGGCCTCCAAGCCAGGAGGTGGAGCCTATCTCAAGTGGTTTGGTGCTGTGCAGCAGAGAGGAACAGTTTTAGCTCTGACCTGCATTCAGGCAGCAATATGCACTGCTTGGATTGTCTTTGCCTCCCCCATGCCTCATAAAAACACTCAGTACCACAATGACAAGATAGTTTATGAGTGTCTAGTTGGCTCCACAGTTGGTTTTGGAGTGTTACTGGGCTATATTGGCTTACTGGCCATCCTCAGCTTCCTGTTAGCCTTCTTGGCAAGGAATCTTCCAGATAACTTTAATGAGGCCAAACTCATCACTTTCAGCATGCTGATCTTCTGTGCAGTATGGGTGGCCTTTGTCCCTGCTTATGTTAACTCTCCAGGAAAATACGCAGATGCAGTTGAGGTATTTGCCATCCTGGCCTCCAGTTTTGGTCTCTTGGTGCCACTGTTTGGACCCAAATGTTACATAATCCTGCTCAGACCAGAGAGGAACACAAAGAAAGCAATCATGGGTCGCGGAACAACTTAGTCATAGAAGTAGCAGTTACAATAAAATTAACTAGTCTGAACCACTATGTGTTTTGTATTCATTCAGTAGTGATCTGCCTGTGAAATAACCAGTATGTAACAAACGAGTAAGGTTTTTTATATTAATTAATTAAGTAATGAATTTGAAACAAGTACATTCACAAGACACTGGAAGCAATAAAAAATGTCTTTGTAGAACACATGCTCTGTTATTGCCTTTTGTTGGCTTAATCCTGCTCCCTACCCATAAGGAACTACTACACATACACATATTGCATTTCCGTATACAGAATCTGTTTACATATGGAGTAAAACCAAATGCAAGACAAAATGCATCTCCACTGATAAAAGCCATCCAGTGGCCAAAGTGAGAGACACAGCTTTGTCTCTTGTTATCCATTTAACACTTAAGTATCTGGGATAAACGTGTATTGAATAATTATGTCAGAAGCTAAGAATCACCCACAATATTAAATACAACATTATGTCTGTAGAGGTTTCATTTGTCCAGGTCACTAGATATATTTTGGTGTTGAGAGGCTTAATCAGTTTGGAACTAATTGATGAAAATGTCCTTAAAACAGTCAAGTTCAGTTACGTTAAATTAAGGACTTGTGACCTGTAAAACTAGAAGGGTTCTTATGCTTCAAGAACATAAGGAGGGTACTCATTTAATTTACCATTATTATTATTACACTGTTTTGAATGTATTACATTGTTAAACATTTTTTATTTGTCTATAATTTAATAATTTTCTTGTAATCAATCAATCAATCAATCAATTTTATTTATAAAGCCCAATATCACAAATCACAATTTGCCTCACAGGGCTTTACAGCATACGACATCCCTCTGTCCTTATGACCCTCGCGGTGGATAAGGAAAAACTCCCCCCAAAAAAAACCCTTTAACAGGGAAAAAAAACGGTAGAAACCTCAGGAAGAGCAACTGAGGAGGGATCCCTCTTCCAGGACGGACAGACGTGCAA